TATATATATATATATATATATATATGTATGTAAATATTTTTATGTACATGAATTCGTACATATGTATGTACATATATTACATCAATGCAACAGCCAGTTTCTGGAATTTGTTTTATAAATAAGTACCTATGTATTCCAAAAGATACCCTCAGGTACATACTTCTCACAAAAATTCAAAGCCAATTAGCAGATTATTATTAGCATATATTATATGTATAGGATATTTATTAGCAACTAACAATGCGTGTGTTCGAGCAACGTAATAATTACCGCAATATTGCAGCCTTGTTAATTTGTTGCTGATACTTAATTGGAATTGCATTTGATTTGCTAGAAATAAGCGACGGATTGTCAAACTTTCTCTTTCATAAAGAGTAACACTACCGCATTTATTGTACATATACATATGTATAGATAGCTCGAATTGGCCCCATATCTACATTTAAAAAATTCATACTTATACACCTGCATGCACTTACAAACATACATACATCACTATAGGGACATATCTTATCAGTCAATAAAATTAAATAATGTACATAGTATGTACAAGTGTACACTTGTGGTCAGTTAATTAAGTTAACTTACATTTTGATCAGTTTTGGCTATTTTGCTTTTGTTTATTTAATATTATTTTTTTATAAAAGTTTAGCGCATACATACATATACTACACCCACATTTCAAACTTTGTACCAAAATTATAAAAATTTGACAAACTTAAGCAATTACATAAAGTGGTGGAAGAAATAATAGAAGCTTTTCAGTTTTGACCAGTTTTGGCTATATTACTTTTGTTTATTCGGTGTTTAATATTCTTTAATAAAAGTCTAGCGCATTATGTAACACGCACAATATAAATCCACATTTCAAACATTGTACAAAAACTATGAAAATTCGACGAATTTCTTTTTTACTGAACAAAATGCATAGCACCGCCAGCTAAAAAATTATTAAAAATCAACGCGTCTTAAAATTTGCACTACTCCTATTTGAATTTTTTTGGTGTAATTCGTAATGTTGGAAATGTGGATTTATATAATATACTAGACTTCAATATAAAAAATAATAATAATAAACAAAAACAAAATAGCGAAAACTGGTCAAAATGTCACTTAACTTAGTCAACTGACCACAAGGATATACATACATATATATACAATACATACAGAACATATTTATTGAAAAACAATGACAAAACAAGTTCTTAAGTGCTACAAATGATAAAAAAATGAACCATTTTAGGTACATGGGCCATGGGACATACAGAAGTATGTACATATGTATACATATGTATGAGTGGGAGATCCCTATCTCGGCAGCCAGTTCGAAAACGCCCTATCTTAGAAAACTTTTCAAGAACGCCCTACTTTAGAATTTGGTTGAAGAACGCCCTATCTCAGCACATTTTCAATAGGAGTATTCACGATCCGGTGTATACTGTCTAGCATGGTGCAGAGATAGCATAAATAGCATGATTTGCTAATTTTGTGGTTTTTTGAACACATGAAACAACAACAAGTATGCGCCGGATCGTGAATAGCCCTAATGTATTTTCAGCTGAGATAGGGCGTTCTTCAACCAAATTCTGAGTTAGAGTATTTTTCAATAAAATTCTGAAATAGCGCGTTCTTCAATCAAATTCTGAAGTAGGGCGTTCTTGAAAAGCTTTCTAAGATAGTGCGTTTTCGAACTGGCTGCCGAGATAGGGATCTTCCAGTCAGGTATCGATATGTGTAGGAGTATACTCTTCTACTACTCTACATCTGTATGTCCCATGTACATAAAATGGTTCATTTTTTTAATCATCTGTAGCACTTAAGAACTTGTTTTGTCATTGTTTTTCGATAAATATAGTATGCACATAGGCGTAGCCAGAATGAAATTTAGGGGGGGAGGGCGCTCGACCCTATTAAGCTGGCATTTCAGGGCACTATTTTATATATATATAAGGAAAATTTGAAAGTTACCCCCTACCTGGCCACGCCCATGGTATACATGTATTGTATACATATGTATGTATACCCTAGTGGTCAGCTGACTAAGTTAAGTGACATTTTGATAAGTTTTCGCTATTTTGAGATAGGGCGTTTTCGAACTGGCTGCCGAAATAGGTCGATCTTCCACTTACACAATTAATTCGCTTTATCATATTTCATTTCATACAAAATTAAAAAAAAAAAATTTTTTCGTTTTTTTTCGAAAATTAAATCTCATCGATTAGGTTTTCTATCCATCACTACCTATAATGCCAACAGTTTTAATATTTTAATTCTTTTGGCCATGCTTTTATCTATAGTATAACGACTATAACCAAATCTTAAATTTTCAAGGGAAATAAGAAAACATTTCTATAAATTGGTGCAATTAAATGTAAATTCCTCTTTAAACAGTTTATTCGCACGCATTGCTATAAGAAACTGAAAAATTAAATTTCAATAAAGTAGCCAACCCAAAAAAAAAAAAAAAATTTTAAACTATGCTTATTTTTTTCTTCCTACAACTGCAGTTGCAATGATTTACATTAACTTACAAAAATTTGGTCAAATAACTGCCAATAGATGTGTGAATTCCCTAAAGTTGTTGCGGTATCAAAGACTACAACAACAACAGCTGCAGCAACAGCGTCAAATACAACGTTGTTTCTGTCAGTTATGTTTTGGTCAGCAATCAACAGCACAGCAATCATCGTTCAGCAGCGAAAGTAATTTGCCATACGTTAAGCGGCTGTGTGTAGTGTTGTTGCCGTTGACCGGAGTTAACTGTGCCGCTGCTTCACAACTTGCACCGTCATCGTCTACCGCCGGTGGGCACCGTTCACAAGCCGATGATGTGAGTAATCGCTTCAGGAAAAAATTTTAGTGTGTATGTCTGAACCCCTTTTCAGAAATGCATATTATGTTTGTATGTATGTACAGATTACAGATGTGAACTTTGTTCTACTAAAACTTCCTGCGAGTTGATCAACAATTATGATTGATTTTTTAACTTTACTCTTAAAATTTTAACCATTATTCTAATGTAGTTATGGGCATTTGTGCATAAATTAACACATATGTATGTATGTATGTATGTGCATAGTTATTTCTAGCACTCGATTTGTGTATTGGTTGCTATGTACCTAGTATACATATGCATTAGTTCAATTAACTTTTACCTGATAAGTATATGTATGTACATATACATGTGTGTGCGTGACTTAAGGCTCCGTTATGCATACTTGGCATGGCTTGAGAGCTGTCACATAATAAGTCTGTTAAATGAGCCTCGCGTGTAATCGGTTATCGAACGCACAGCACTACATACGTAGAAGTCTGTTGGTTTTTGATTTCTACGTAAAAATGGTATAGCAGTGCATGCAATGCCAAGTATGCATAACAGAGCCTTTATTCGCAGCTAACATTTTAATGCTTATTTCCACTATTAAACTTAATTCTTGAAATAGTTTTGTTTTGCCTTTGCTTCCGGGCGGTTGACTAAAATTCCTATTCGCTTTTAAACGGTCGTTTCAGGTCAGCAATATGTCAGATCAGGACGCTAAGAATGCCAAGTCAATTTATGACTTTACTGTCAAGGACACGCATGGTAATGAAGTTTCCTTGGAAAAATACAAGGGCAATGTGGTGCTGATCGTAAATATTGCATCCAAATGTGGTTTGACCAAGAACAACTACGCCAAATTGACCAACTTGTTGGAGAAATACGAATCGAAAGGTCTACGCATTTTGAATTTCCCATGCAATCAATTCAGTTCGCAGATGCCTGAAGCTGATGGTGAAGAAATGGTGTGCCACTTGCGTGACGCCAAAGCCAATATTGGTGATGTATTCCAAAAGGTGAGTTGATTTGTGCGTTTTTTTTTTCTAAAGTTAAGTGCTTTTAGTAAATTAAAAATTTAAATTATTGATAAGAAATTTGAAATGGTTCTTAATTCTTTAGAAATGGTAATAAAAAAATATTCTTGTCATTACTTAAAAGAAAAAAAGTCATTAAATTCATTTGCACGTGGCATTTTTTAAATACCTAAATTTTTTGCCATTTCAATGCCTAGTAGAAATTCGGCATAAGAATTAAAAAAATTGATATTTTTTAATAGTTAAAAATATTTTTGAACCTTCTAGAATATGAGAATATACATGAAATAAAAATGTTTTCCCCAAAAATTTTAGTTTTTTTAATCGAAAAAAAATATTTTTATACTGCAGTATTTATTCAAAAACGCACCCTGTTCATTGTATTCCATGTAAAAAATTAAAGAAAAACGCTTTTAATTGAGTGGTTACAGTGCGGCTACTCCTCAATTAGCTGATTCCTTTAACTCGAAAAATAGGGAAACTCAAAACTATTTTTTTTTTAAGAAAAATTTCCAGATCAGTCAAAGTTTCTCGATATTCGATGATTTTTCAGGGGGATTACGCCTGGAACATATTCGTATGAAAACTATATAATTTTGGGACCGACCCTGAAACCGGTTTAACTACAAACAAAATTTGATAGGGAATGATGGAAACTCGTTTCAAAACACTTCACATTCGGGTACATTAACTTGTTTAAAAGAATTCCCTTGAGCACCGAAAAAACAATATATTACTAAAATAATTCCCTAGACATTTTTTTCCATAAAATATTTATACATACGTAAATAAATATAAATATCATCTTGTATTGTTCATTAATATTGATTTTTAAATACCGAAAATTTCGAAGGATTGCGATAAAACTAAACTCGTATTTTTTTTTGTAACAATTTATTTTATTTTTCGTAATTCTTGAATTTTTTAAAGAAAATCTTGAAAAAATAAATTGTGAAAAAATAATTTTCTTTTCAGATTTCAAGAATTACAAAAAATAAAATAATTTTTAAACTTCAAATATTTTGAAAAAAAACAAAGATTTTAGTTTCAAGCAGGTGATCATTTCACGAACTCTCCTTCGAGTTTCACAGCGATGAGTTTAAAATACAAAGAAAATTTAGAATCAACGCATCTAATAGGTGACAACAACAATAAAAGAAAAGTAAAAAAAAATCGATTAAAATGCGCTCCAACAACAACAGCCACCACTATTTAAAGACATTTCGTTACACAATGTTAATGCCATGTTTTATAAATGAAATTTAATTACCTTTACGCTCAGGTTCATTAGAAATTAAAATGCTTGGCATTTTCTATTAGATACTTGCGTGCATTAAATTCTACAACCAATCCTATACTCGACACTTTGTTTGTGCTTTCAGGTTGACGTAAACGGTCCTACCGCCGCTCCACTTTATCAATATTTGAAACACAAGCAATCGGGCACTTTGGGCAGTGCCATCAAATGGAATTTTACCAAATTTCTTGTGAACAAAGAAGGCATACCTGTTGACCGTTATGCTCCCACAACTGATCCCATGGACATTGTGAAAGATATTGAAAAGTTGCTTTAAGCTGTTCACTAGCGTATCGAAGTTACGATAATGATTAAAAATCATATAAATTTATATGTCTAATTACAAATACATATTTGAATACATCAAAATAATGATACATCCCCATACATATATTCATATACTCCTATAATGCATATTTACTATTGGCTACGGACTCTTTGGATACAATTTTTCATACTGACTATGCGGATGGAAATGGTCTTAATCGTGCACAGCGTCATTTGATATTGATTGTTATTTCTATTCTACGATTATTGTCTTTATACATATTTATGTATGTATGTACATACATATGCAATTCCAAAAAGTTTGTAATTCACTTTTGTTTTCGTTAAGCTTTAAATACAAATAAACTTAAAAATACCTACAAAAAACTTAAGTTTGTACTTCATTGTAGGTTAGTTCGGTCACGCAGCGGCTTGCTCTATTTTAAATGCAAAACGCATTTACTAGGTAACGGTATTGTAATGGATGTCTTTCGAGGTGTATAAGCGTGTGTGCACAAACTATATAAGAAATGCATCACGTATACACTTAACTATGCATGCAAATTCACATGCACGGACATATGCACACCTAAGGCGATGAACATTAACCTTTCGCATCAACGGATTGTAATTTATTGTGGGCAAAAGATACATATGTACGCAAATTTTTTTAAAATTTTTTTATTATATTTTTTAGTATTTTTTGTTTGCATAATTCGCGATCCAATAAATTTAAATGCGAGAATAAAAATAACAAAAATAAAAGTGGACATAAAAAGTGTGGACAATGCCATAAAAGGTATATCTGTATGTATGTTTACGCATATGGACACCACTTGCAGTAATTACTTTCCTATTATAGAAGGTTCGATTTGATTGAAAGGAGCGAGCGACTGAGAACGATCTATTGCAACAAATTTTTATTTGGTTACAGATCTTTGATTCACGCATCATAAAGGAACCACGCGATATCTTATGGCTGGATGTTATTTAGGTCATGTGCTTCTAAGTACGATGATCCTAGGAAGCGAAGTCTGGGTCTAGGAAGGTCTTTGTAGTGGCACTTAGTGTAGTGGTATTGCTGTTTTGCTGTTCCTCGTGACATAAACTGAACTGGTCAGAGTAAACAACTCGGAAGGTTTGACAAGTGTTTCATTATCCTGCAGTGGCCAGTGGATAGATACATATGGTCGGTTGGCTGCGACTAGCAGTTCTATTATAGCGTCTAGATCCCCGCAGCAACTCGATTAGTCCTAGCGCACTTAGGAAATCCAGTAGGTTGTTTGGTGACATCGAGTGCATACGATTCGGCTGCGGGTTTAGTGGCCCGAAGTATTATTTCTCTCGGAGTATGTGCTCAACAGTTTCAGCTGCCCTGTCGCAGAAGCGGCATGAATCATTAGACCAAATCCTGAGGTTGGGTAGGTGATTTCTTAATCTGCAATGACCTGTTAAGCAACCTATTAGATCTTATCAGACAATTGCAGTACAACTGCAGTACCCCGTTAGATTGTATCCCCCTATTAGGCGTGATCTAGTACCCACAGCGCCTGGATGTTATTGTATTTAGCAAGGACACTGAGGTTCTCAATACACTAGGTTCTCAAGGACTAGCGATGATTTAATCTTAAAGGATAATATTGCATTGAGTGTCGCCTGATTATCACAAAGAATAAGGATTCTGTCATTACGGTAATTTACCCGAAGGTCTGCATACGCATCTGTACAATGAGAACCTGTAGTCAGAATGGACAGGCGAGAATTTTCGCAATCGACTTTCAATTCGAATTAAACAAGAAACTCTTCATCAACCGAATATACAGAAATTAGCAGGGGGTATCCATCTTCCAATTTCTTCGTGGCGCCACGGAAGAGTTGCATTGGCTCTACCACCCCCGCAAGAGCAACTGGTACACACAGCGAGCCACAGCTGAGCAATACCGGGATAAGTGGAGTATGGAGAGACGTCATTCAAAAGGAAAACGAAGAGGGAGAAAGACGTGAGTGTGAAGAGCTTAAGACGCTGGCAGTAAAAAATGTGGCTCGAAAATTCACGTTCAGGTCCCTCCATTGGACCGAGATGAGACAGTAAGAGCAACAATGAGGCTTAAGAATAATAAGGCCGTTGGAGCTTGCAAAATACCAGCTAAGCAGTTCAAAGCCGACGACGGAACGCCGAATAAAAGTATTCTTAACATTGAAGTACCAGTTGGTGAAGCGGTTTATGAACCAATTGTTTTGGGCCTTAACAGTGTGACTGACTTCAAAGTGCGTCAAATGGATAAGACAGCAATGTTTTTGTTGATTTTAACCTCTGCGGTACCAACTAGAGATGGGCACGTGACAAAAATTTAAATCCCGATCCCGCCCATCGCGAAATTCAATTTTTAAGTCCCGAACCCGCCTTTTCCATATGTTTACTACTGAAAACTCTGATGCGCTGGACTACCCATCTAAATCGTCCGTTCCGCAAGGAGCTGTAAAGCTAATATTGGTTTCCTTGCAAAGTAATATTTTCTTCATTTTTATGCTAATTAAATTTCGTTACTACAGATGAAGAGTAGTGGGAGCTCAGCCCAGTTTTCTGCTGAATGGGAACAACACAACGATATGTTATACTTATGTATATACTAACATACAAACGTTCATAGCAAATGTCCAAACAATTGCACCAACACATTCTATCGCCCCATCTAGTTCTAGTTCAATGCATTATCATAAATAGATATACAACTTGTCGCAACAATTGCCTATTTGGATATTCCCAAGTTTAATGTAAAAAGACAAATAGGCATCTACTCAACTTCAACAACAACAACAACAACAACAACAAAAGATTGACCTTCCGACAATTAACCAAATATGCCTCTTCACCATTTCTAGGAGCTTAGCTGCCGCCGCCGTAAATATCTTGCCGCCATGCGCCGCTTTTTACCCTTTTTGTAAATTTTCACGCTTCTTCTGTCACCGTTAAGGCGCTAACAACATTGACAAGCGAGCACAAGCGAGTAAAAAAGCCGAAAATAGTTAGGTAGTCGAATTTTTTTGTAACGTTTTGTGTGTTCCCCTGACGGTAAGCATAGCAGTCAAGTAGGTGGCACGCATGCGTATCAAACGCACTAGTGACAACGTGCAAGTGTCCGAGCTAGCTAGCTAGCTTTGACTACTAGTCGACAATTCGGAGCATTGAAGATTCCTTGTGTAGCGCTTAAGGTGACATACTGATTTGCTGACAAAACTATTTGCTCGGCGACGAATGCCTCAAATGAAAAACTGGGTTAAAAAAAAAAACAATCAAATTCTTCACGAACGCGATGCACATGACAACAAGCGAGGCGACATTTATGCAGCTTTAAACAGCGACAGCGCAGCAGTGAGATCGTGTGTGGCGCGTAGTGGATCATCCCCTTGAACGGGGTGTTGGAATTTGTTTTTGTTTTTTTTTTTTGTAAAGCTGGCTGTATGATAGACATTAGTATCGACTAGCTGCCGTCCGGTCATAACATTCGGTTTTGGTGTATCCGAAGATCGATTGATTTATGCTTGAATACAGCTCGATCGGTATTCTGATCGCCGGTTGCAAGTAAACAGATTTTTGAACTGCCTATGCGCAAATGTAGTTACAAATGTACGCGCATGCATACATACATACATACGTATACCACTGTTTTTTGCTAAAAATCAATTTAAATTGAATTCCATACCAATTTGTGTATTTACACGTCGAAAATGCCCAAAATCGTTTGTACTTAGCTTGTCGTATGCGCCTGACATGCAATGCGCAGCGACGACACAGCGTATCAATGGCGCGCTTTACCAGCTCATCGCCGTGCATGCAATACATATAAAATAGCGTCAGTACAATCACTCGAAGTTCACTTAGCTGCGACCAGCAGTACGTATCGGTAGCGCATCGGTCAACTGTTGTGAACGCAAACGATTTCCACCAGTACAAGTACAAGGATTAATTTCATTTGCTGCATCAGAAAAGGATACCATACCCGCGATGAGAACTCTGCTTGTGCTGTTGCTGTGCGTTGTCACTGCCTATGCAGCAACTCATGTCAACATTTCGATTGCTCAACATCCAGCCACAAATCCTGCCGATGTCACCTATGTGGATGGCACCGCACCTGACGAGCTGAAGGCGGGTCCACTGAAGAAAGCTAGTGGGCAGCAGCGTAGTGCCAGGTTGCGTGCGGCCGAAGAGAGTGTAGAGAGTAGTGGAAATGCACAGCTGAATGAGCAACAAAAGCAAGACGCTTCCAGTTTCAATAGTAATTCGAAATCAGCGCAGCAGGTACAACAGGTTCCAGAGCAATCGAGTGGGTTCAAGCAACAGCAACAACAACAGCGGTTTTATGGACGTTTACGCCAGCCAAGCCGGCAGAGCCAATTTCGTCAAGCCAATGCTCAAGACAAACAGAATCAGGAGTTCGAGCGCTATATACAAAATTATCATAGTGGACCGACTGTGGAAACGGTAAGTGTAAAATTTCGTGCGAAATGTGGTACTCAATATGCTATTCTTTCTTAATCAAGTCAATTATCCACAAGCACACTTTATTTATGCTTTCTCTCTGATCCTTTAGGTATTTGAAACCGCCGATCACTCGCCTTCAGCGCGCTACGAATACTCCTCCTCGTCCTCGTCGTCGTCGTCATCTTCTTCTTCTGGCCCAGCACGTCTTGTCGCCATCGACGCGAAACCTCGCAAACAACATACTTTCGAGCGTCAAGTTGCTCTCCCCGCTGCTGTCGCCTCAGCAGCATCGGCGCCCGCCGAGGAGCAATCCAAATCAGCTGCTGACGCGAAGATTCAAATATCCCCAGCACCAGTTGCTGCAGCACCTGCTGTCTCTACGCCAGTAGCTGTGCAGGCACCTTCACCTGTCACCTCGCATTCCGCACCATCTGCTGCGCCATCAGCATCGTCGAAAAGTGCTACTACTGTAATTAGTGGTGGCAGCGATGGTGGCAAAGTGGGTATTGGTGGTTCATTCGTTGGTGGTTTTGCTGGCGCTGGTGCTAGTCCTGGCTCACATGGCGTGACGTTTAGAGTGGCTGGCGGCGGCGGGTATAATCAGCCGAACTTTGATCCAGCCAATAGCTATGGCAAGCCTGACTACGAGCAACCAAGCTACAATTATGATCAAGGAGACGCAGGTGGTTTCCTAAATGAGTACCCACCCTCCGTCGATGAGTCCGCAGGCGGATATGATGGTTTTTATGGAAATCAGGAAAGCGATTACCATTCAAATGCCGGCTACCTGCCCGCACAACCTGTTTACCAACGTCCTGTTGTCACTAAAACTATACAAATTGCACAGCCAGCATTGAAGGCAAAGAAATTTGAGGTTCGTCACCCAGCCATCCAAAAGGAGTTTTATGACATCGAAGAACGCGTTGTGATTAAGCCTGCTGGCACCATAGTTGTCGAGCTGGAACATCCAGTTGCGAAAATTCCGAAGGGTGAAACCGTACTGCCCCTAGGTCATCCACATCCGGCAATTGCCGCGCAGTACAATTTGAATAGTGACGCAGACATTGAGACGGAATCGTCCAGTGCAGGTTCCTATAGCAACGGTGTGCGCTCAAGTCCGAATCAGGTCTATGCAACGCCCGCTAGAAAAAATCCTGCGCCAGTAATTAGCGGCACGCACATTGGCTCCACTGTTACGGCTACGCCGACAAATAATCAAAACGCTAAACGAGATTTTGTGGAAGCCAATCTGCGCAAGCAATACGGTGAAGAAACAAAACTCGTAGCTACAACTGAAAATACGCAACGCGGCAGGGAACTTTACATACCCGCTGAGACGCATGGCAACCAGCGTCAAGGGTCTAATAGGAACTTCTCACCCAATACATTCAGACGCGAAGAGAGCAATTACCAACGTCCCGCTCGTGTTGAAGCAAAGAAAAACGATGAGACCTATCGTTCGTCCTTTTCGAGAAGCGAAGAACAGCCATTAAAAAATAATGCTGCCGATTTCCAGAGCAACTTCAGCAACGACGACGATGATTACAAGGGCGAATATATTACCGGTAACTTTTACAGTACAGCCAACAGAGATCCCAAACCTGCCCGTCTGCAGGAAGAGCCACGCAAAAGTGAACGCATTACTGCCGAGCCACGCGCACAAATCATAAAACATGAGCACACTATCAATATTCCACCGTCACAACATAACATATACATAGCGCCCAGTCGCTTAGAAGACCGCCACATACTTGTTCAGGATCAGCGCAAGCAGGCACCATCACGAAAGCAGCAGCCCGCTCGCCTGGAAGAAGAAACTGCTCGCGTTCAAGAGGTCAAACCATTCTTGGACCGCCAACGGGAGGGTGGAGTAGTATACGTGGTCCCCGCTAGACGTCCAGTGTCAACGCAACAACGCTATACACAAAATGAAAGTCGACTGCCACAACTAGTTCCGCAACAGCGCTCTTATGGCCAATTGCGTTACGACCCCGACGCCGATGTGGATGCGTCAGTGGAGTATAGTGCACCATACTCTCATATGCGCTACGATCCAAAAGAGTCTGCACGACTTACCGCCGATGTAGAATATAGTCGGAATGTTAATGAAAATGCGCCGCAAAGAACCATAACTGTAAACTATAACAGCGTGCCCGAATCGAATGCCCGTCTGGTCTCACAAAATAACTCAGGACTCGCTGCAAAGGAATCCGCCAAATCAGTGGAAAGCAAAGACGTTAAGAACCCCGAACTACGCCCGCTCGCACACATTCAATTACAAGTACCGAATGGTCCGCAAGAAGCTGATGAGCCCATACGAGTTATGTCTTCGATCAATCCACCGAGGGAACAGAGTCGTACGGCATACTCTAGGCAGTCAGCAGCCAAACAAGCCGAGGACGATCAAGTAGAAGCTGCTGTTCAAAATGAAAGTGAAGATCAAGATGAACCACGCTCTGAGAATGTCGAGTCCCAACCCGATTGTGCAGAAAAAGTGAGCGAGCGTTATGAGAATGACCCCGACGATGATGTGCAGTATGCTGAAGAGCAACGTGACAGAGAACCAGTAAAGTCCCTACGCCTAATAGACACTAGCAGCTCTCAACCAAACAGCAAAGAAAACGCCCAACCAGCGAATTCGAATATCCAAACTGAGAGCGTCGATGCCAACGTCAAAGACGGCAATGCGCATATCACGCCACCGGGCTCCCGTGTGATTGCCGCCAACCCAGCACCCAACGACGCATCCGCTGCAAGCGAGAGTTTCCACAAACGTCGCATTGTGGTCAACCATCCCTTCCAGACGGTGCGCGAGGTAGTCGAACATGAACCCATTACAAATTATCATCAAATACAAGTACATGAACACGCGTCACCAGCTTCGGCGTACCACAAGGCACCGTACTTTGCGTCCAATGGTGCCTTGCGTCAAATCGCTGTGCCAGTTATGTATCATCAGGCGTCTGGCGCAACACACGGAAATCTAGTTTACGCCTTGCCTGATGCAATTCCTGTGCATGAAGACAACGGCGAAGCGGAGCCGTCCTATCAGCAAACTCGTCAGCGTGTGCGCGCTTAAGTGCGTCGAAAAGTCTCAGTTCGATTGAAGTGGCCAATTGTTGTTGTTATTGTAGCGTTTGTTGTTGCCATTAATTAAGGATATATCACTTACAAATAAGCTATTCAACTTATTCGAGTCGATCGAATATTAATTATTTTTTTTAATATTTTAGACATAAGACACTAATTTGTAACCGATTCAACTAAGGTTGATGGGATAACCTAAACTAATGATTGCCAGACAACGTGGATGCGTTGCCCTTATTTAAGTATACAAACTTCATATATAAGTTGACGAATAAAGGCATAAAATGCATGGTGGAATAATACAAGGTGTTGGATATTGACAGCGTTCTCGCTCTAATCTGCCATCTTGGCTCCCTTAGCAAAATCGGTGTTTCCCTCTTGAAAAAACTACATTTTACCGCCTTTAAAAAAACTAAACTACCTCATTCCCTATTCCAAAACTGATTTGCAATCACTGAACAATTCTTTGACATTTACTTTATTCTTATTCGTTGACAAAATTAAATTAAAAATTAAAATCATTAATTCGACAAAAAACATTGGCTTTGTGTATTCTCCAAAGGCCTAAAATCAGCCAAATACCCTATGTGGGTCGGCTTAATCAGTAAAACGTGACAGTAGTTGACTTTTGAGGTTAATATATCGGCCTTGAGCTGGTACGGCTTTTAAAACATCCGCAGCTTCCTTTAAAGCATCGCTGCTAATTGCTGAGAGGACCAGATTATATTTCCGGACATAAGATGTGGTCTTGTACGACTGAAAGGTGGCCTCAATTTGTAGAAACCATTTGTTTGGCATCTCAGTTCAGAACGGTCGCAGCTTGCATTGCGATACAAGCTCCACATCTTTAGTTGGCATTTTGTTCGATGAAATATTTTCCCCATCCGTCGATGCGCCCTTTTGTCGACTCCGTCATGTTGTAACGACTCGGGGTCACCACTAATTTTTTGATGGCGAAATTTTTGTAAGTTATATCAATCATCTTATAGTATTTTCGGGTAAAAATTAGACCCCCAAGCGGTTTTGGAAGTTTGACTATAATTATAGGACATTGTGTTTAATAAACTAAATTACCATTTATTGCATAAGTGCTACGTAATATATACTACTTTCGCAAATTTAGCTTATCATAATATACCGTTTGTTACTATTTATATGCAAAATTTGATATGAAAGAGTACCAAATTTCGTACTACTTCGCAAAGCGTGCTTCTTTTCTTCCCGTTTCTCTCGTTCTTCCATATTACAACCTTTTGTAAGGGAGCCGTCGACATGAGCTGTCACTACGTACAACACCTTGTATAATTCCACCATG